CCTCCTCCTCCTCCTCCTCCTCCTCCTCCTCCTGCTCCTCCTGCTCCTCCTGCTCCCCCTCCTCCTCCTCCCCCTCCGCACGCGTTGCGCGTTCCAGGAGGGGCCTCTCCCTCCGCACCACCCTCTGCCTCGGCGGAAACCGGAGGAGGCAAGGTTTTGCTGCGGGCCCTCTGGCGGAAGGCGGCGGAGGCAAACGCAAAATGCCAAGATTGTTGGACCTGTTGGACTCGCGTTCCCAGAGATCCAACGCATTGAAAACATCAAGACGGAGGGTTTTCTCAAGTTTCGGCCTCCAGGGGCCCTCGCCGGGCCCCGGGACCGTCAAAAGACGATTCAGGATGAAAAGCCGGTCCTGGGGAAGGGGTCGAGACTTCGGGGGACCGCGTATTGGAAAAAATCACGACATCGGATCTCTGGGTTTCCTCCGTCGTCCGTCTTGTCGCTCGTCCCTCCTTCCTCTCTCCCTCGGCCTCGCCTCTCGTCCTCGCTCGTCGTGCGTCCCTCTCTCCCTCTCTGTGCGTCCTTGCCCCTCCCCGGCTGCACCGCGCGGAGAGACTGCCGCCGCACAATGACCACACCATGCCGCCACGGCGCCCGCCTGCAGCGCCCCCGCCAGCGTACACCTCGCAGCTCCGAGGGTTCGGCGGCGCGCCTGGGGGTGGGAAGCGAAAGGGAGACGGCCTGCTCAGAAGGCTTCCGAGAAGTCCCGCCGCCTTCCGAGAAGGCCCCCTTCTTCTGCTCCCCTCCGCCGAGGGGCTTCTGGAACCGGCCACGCGGCTGCTGTGTTGGCCCAGGGGCGGGTTTCAAGGAGCACCGGGGAAGCCCCCGAGGATCGCCCCCAGGGAGCGCCCCCGGCCGATATCCGGGCCAGCCATGCCAGAGAGGAGGCAGGTGCAGGTTTCAGCGGCGAGTTCCGACGAAGACGACGGCTCCGCGGTGGAGGTCGGAAGCGCCGGCGCATGGAAGGAGTTCAGGCATAAGTTCGGCCCCTACGGCATGCAGATTGCCGTCGGCATCCTTGTCGAGGTCGCGTGGTGTGCTTGCATTGGAGGTTGGCTGGACAGGGCAGAGAAGGCCAGTGCGGGCTCCAAAACCCTGGAGGAGTTGGACCTGGTTCAGAAGGATGAGTACAACGTCAAGGAGCTCAACTGGATCGTGTTCCTGGTCTGTCTTGTGGGCCGATGGATCGCCATCTCCTTGTGGTTCCGAAGGCAGCGGCGTTTTGGACGGTGCGCTGTCACGGCGAGTGCCGCGTCGGCGATGTACATTGTTTTTTCGGTCTCGCAGTGGGTGGTCTATTTCGGGGCCTACTACTTGGTTCTGGATTCGTTGACCACAGTCACGTTCAACCCTCATGTGCAGGTCAAGCGGATCGCCGAATACTCCGACACACGCGCAAGCAACGCCACAAATTTGGCCGATGGTGTTATCGACGTGGTGAACGCCGACGATGCTGTCCTCAACCTGACAATGGCCCACTGCCTGGAAAAATATCCTCCCTTAGATTGCGTGTCGAGGGTCAACCGTCATGTGACGTGTGAAGTCAAATTCGATCCAGATGTCTGCAGCGGCTACACTTGGATGGGAAAGGGAAAACATGAGATGAAATGCTGCGTTAAAGACATTTACAGTCTGACGAGGCCAAACGTCCCTGTGCCATTCGCATTCGGACAAAATCTCGATACTATGTTCATGCTCTTGAAATGGCTGGCGGTGTTGAGTATATCATGGACTCTCAAGGATCTCCCGATAGTGCCAAGCTCAGCCCAGAGTTCTGGGTTTTTGAATGGCTGCTGGATGGATCTTATGGATTCGGTTGTCTTCGGCGCTTACTTGGTCAACGACAGGGTGCTGTACCCCAAGTACGGCATCGACTCGGATGGGACAGCCGCAGAAAGCAAAGACGAAGACTACATTAGTCTCCTGAGGCTCACGTGGATCGTGGCGTTTGTGCTGGCCACGTTGTCACCATCGCTGTACACCTTCTACAGCCACTCTGGAGAAGAGGATTCGAACAGGAAAAGGTTAAACAACTGCATAGACGTAAACGCTTGGAACTCCGCGCGGATTTCTTGGATCGGCGCTGCGCCCACATGGCGGCGCCTCCGGCGCCGCCGCCCATGACGCGTTCCGCGCGCCAGGGGGCCCAGCGCCGATCGAAGAAATCAGCGCGAAGTTTCGAAAGTTTCTGTTTATGCAGTTTGGTTTTTCCCCAGCGGAGGACGACGGCGCGGGAACCGAGAACGCGCCCCGTGATTTCGCCCACAGCGCGGAGAGTTTGATCCGAAGCTTGCAGATGCTCGAGCGCCAGAGCGCGCTGGATCATGTGGAGGAGTGCCTCGCGATCCAGCGCGAGGCGTACGTCCAGCACTCCGTCGAGGCAGACCAGCCCCTCACTCGACTAGCAGAAAACGGCATAAGCATAAACTGAAGTCGGGCCTGTCCCTCTAGAGGAGGAACATTCCAAAGCAGTGAAAAAAAAGCCCGGGGACGATTTGTTGAACATCCGTTGGCTCTTTGGATGTATTGTTCTGGGTATTTAGGATCTGTCGCCCAGAATCCGCCTGTAGGGGGGCATGCCCCACCTGAGCACAAACCCTCGGAGCTGTGCGCGGATTGATCGGGTCGGCGCCTGGGCCCCCGCGGCGGCGCCTCTGGCGCCGCCCCTTTCTCGCTGCGCGCGGCGGGAAGGGGGGAGGGATCGAGCCTCAAGTCGGGCCTGTCCCTCCACAGGGGGACAATTCCAAAACTGTGGAAAATTAGTCTGGGGGCGATTTTCGATTACTATTTGACCATTTTGGAACATGTTTTGACAATTTTCATTTTTCGTCCTAAATCCCCCTGTATGGGGACGGGCCCGACCTAAATCGAGCGCCGATCGATGAACTCCGCGTGAACCTCGGAAAGGTTATGCTTTTGCAGTTTGATGCAGGCGGACGAGGCCCTCCTGGTGAAGGTCGCACCCAAAGGGCACGAGGAGCTCGTCACCGCCGACAAATTTTTGCAGGACCTGTCCCTCGCTGTGGGCGGGCCTGCGCCCCGACCGGGACAGGCAATCGAAGACCAACAAAGTTACGTATCGCACTCTTGCGGCAGAAGACCTCAAGCAGCTTTGTATTGAGGCGTAGAGAGGGTCATGGACGGAGACTCCTAGAGCGACGCAGAGGGGCCACGGGAGACGACTGGAGACAGCGGCCCAAGACGCCCGAGGACACCGGCCCAAGATGCCTCAGACGACACCGCGACCGCCCCGAGGCGACCCAAGACGGCCCAAGAGGCACCCAAGAGGCCCCCCAAAAGGGCCCCGCGAGGCCAAAATGGCCCCATTCCCATCGCAAAAAATACATTCTCAACATATTCGCCTCTAGGCCTTTCATAACGTCCAAGTCGGCCCAAGAGACTGCCAAGACGGCCCAAGAGGCTCCCAAGAAGGCCCCAAGACGCCCAAAGAGAGCCCAAGAGTGCCCCAAGGGCCCCCAAGGCAGCCCAAGAGACCATCTGGACGGGCCGCACAGGCGTCCCAGAAAACGAAAACCACGTTCAAATTTCAAGCCTTCGGCTTCAAGAGGCCCATAGGATGCCCCCAGAGGCCCCCAAGAGGCCCCAAGAGGCCCTTACGCGGCCCCCAAGAGGCCCCCAGGCGGCCCCCAAAAAGCTCCCATGAGGCCCCCAGGACGCCCCAAAAAGCTTCCAAGAGTCCCCTCCCCGGACGCCCCGAGCCACCCCTGGCAATCGCGAGGCTTCTGTCAAGGAGAGGCAACGAATGGGCTTCCTGACGCGCTCTTGGGCCGTCTTCGAGCTTAAGGTGCCCCAATCAAGGCCCAACAGGTCCCAGAAACGCCCAAGGATAGCTTCTCCGGGGTTCCCAAGAGACCCTCCAGAAACAACTGACCCGGAGACGCACCCAACCCTTTGTACACAAGAGGCGGCTATACCCAGGACCGTTCATTTCCAACTTACGCCTTGAAGGATTCGCAGTATCCTTGAACGCTTCGCCAAAGAACGTGAGGCCGCAGACCAGTGTTCCCCATTCACGGCATCACTCTTGCGACTCATATCATCGGAAAGAGGGCGATCACGATCTGACAAAGGAGCAATGACGAGGGGGCCACGAACGTGGCGACAGCTTCGCTGTTCGAAGCCCCCCGGGACGGCGAGGCCCCATTCTGGTCCGCGGATCACGCCTCTCCGCTGGACCCGCCAGCGGCCCACGAAGGTAGCGACAGTTTCGCACATCGCAACCCCCCACTCGTTCCCTGGTTCCTTTCCCAGTTTATCCTTTTCCTCTTCCTCCTGTTCTGACTCCCTCCTCGTCCTATCTCGCCCTCCTCGTGTCATCCTCCTCCCCCTCTGTCCTCTCCTCTCTCTCTCTCCCTCCTCCTTTCCTCCTCACCTTCCCCGACCGTCTCTCTCCCTTTTTCGTCGCCCTCCTCTCCTCTTCTTCCCTTCATATCATTTCCTCCTCTTCTTGCCCGATCGTCTCACTGCAATGCTCTGCCCTCTCAGAGGGCTACTAATTCCCAAGAGAAGCGCGACGACCATGCAGCATGCAGTCTGTTTGGCCCGGGGGACGTCCAGAGACAAGTTTCGGGTGCGTCTTTGCGGAGGTGACCGCGACCCCCCTCGTGGTCACCGTTTTCTCTAACCCCTCATCGGTGACTATGGCCTCGTCGCGGTATGTCGCCGTCTCCCAAACACAGGAATGCTTATGACCCGTCCGGGAATTATGACGGACCGCCACCCCTCTCACAGTCATCATGTGCTTGCAGACGTCATCCATTCACCGAGTGTTTGGGTGCGCGTGGCCGCAGGACCAATATTGAGGCGAAGCGAAGCGAGCCCTCAAATCTTGTGTATATATATATATGAATATAATGTGTGCCGTGTTCCCCGGAGTGCACTGATTTCGCCTCCAGCCGTTTTGGACCCGTCGGGGGTGCCAGAACGCGTCAAAGGAGGAGAAGGGGGGCGACGAAAGGGCCAGAGAGACGTCCAAGAGGGCGCCAAAATGGCCCAAGAGCGCTCCAAGAGAGCCCGAGACCGTAAAAGACCGTTCTAAAATTTGTCCAGACGGCATGGTTTCCTTCAAACGGATCCTCACGAGGGCCGGCGCCCGCCGCCCCGCCCCGCCCTCCCGGGGCAGCGCGCGCAGGCTCCCGCAGCGGCACAGCGCGCGGGCCGCCCGCCTTCAGCACAGGCGGGCGCTAGCGCCCAGGGCGCCGATCCGCCTGCGGTGACCTCCCTACAGGCGGGGCGCTATGCCTCCCTGCCGTCCCTAACCCCCCCCTCCCCGCGCCTTGCCCCCCCTCCCTCCGCGCGCCGTCGCGGCGCCCGTGCCGCTGCCGCAGCGGGCCGCCCCCCCCCCGTGAACATCGATGGCCTGGCCCTGCCGCCCGCGGTTTCGCGGGCCCGCCATTTCGCCGGACGCAGTCCGAAATTTAGGCTGCTCGCGCGCTTGCCGCGCCCGGTCAGCCCGCCGCCCGCCTGGGCGGCCGCGCGACGTTTTTCCTGACGCGCAAGTTCATTCATTTTATTTCACCGACGGCACCGCTGCAGCACATGTCCCTCGCACTGGGCCCCGTCGCCGCCCGCGGGCGCCGCGGCGCCGCGGCCCGGTTGCTGCCGCGGTCTCCGCCGACGGGGCCGGGCGCGCCAGCTCTCTCGGGGCGGACGCCTTCCGCCTTTGAATGACCCCGGCTCTTTCCCCTCTCAGCGGCCGCCCTGTCCGCCCTCGCCCTCCTCCTGCACGCTGGCCAATTCGCCTTTCGGCATATCCATGTAGCATCAGCGCTGGCGCGGCCAGTCCGCCTCGCCGCCGACGGAAAGGCGCGCGCGTACGCGCGTGTGTCTGCGCATGTGTCTGCGCGTGGCTGTGTGCGTTTGTGTGCGCGTGGGTCTGCGCGTGCCCGCATGTCTCTGCGCGCGCGCGTTTCAACCGCCCTGCAATTTTAGACTTCAGTCGGCCTTTCTCGCTTTCTGTAGCAAGTCGGATGCAACGCTGTTTTTCGTTAAAAGAAACAGCGACAACCGACAGCCGAATAGAGGAGGCCAGCAGTTGCTCGAGAGTTCGGGGTTTTCGGCGGCGCAATGGCTGAGGGGGCGACCGCGGGAGGTTCGTTCTGTCCTCTGCCCCCCCCCGCGCGCGCGGCGCGAGCGAGCTCCAGAGTCGCGGGTTGCCGCCCGAGCCCGACCGGCGGGCGCGCATCTAGATGGGTCTCTGGAGTTGCAGCTGTTGAAGAAGATCACGGTCATGTGTTTCACGTTTGTTGGAGCCTGGTTTGTTGGACTGGCTGGGGCCCCCGCCACTCCGTCGCGATCTCGCTCGCGCAAGGCATCTTTGGTTCTCTCGGTTCGCCCGGGCACTTCCCGGGTAGTCTGGACTTGCCGTTGGAGGGCCGCGGTGCTTGAGACGGCTCGGCGCCCATATAAATTTCTCTTCAAGTGCGCCGGCGTCGGGGCGGGGCCAGCTCACGGGGTCGGCGGTGCACCGCGGGCGCCGCGAGCCCACCGTCGCCGGCCTGCCCATAGGTCCGCAATTTCGCGCGCCCTGCCCCCGAGGCTGGGAGGTCGCTCCAGCCTCGGGGGGGGGCGACGTCTTTCGTAGCTTCCCTCGTCGGCGTCGGCCCCTCGCCGATCCGTCTACCGCGCCACTTGAGGACGGGTTGCGGTCTCGGCATCGGGGGTTCCGTCCCCGGCCGAAGCCGCTGAGCGATTCGGCGCCGGACCCCCCCCCCGAAGTCCGCGCCCCTGAGCGCCCCGCCCTGGACATGCTGAAGAACTAATTCTCTCCCAGCTCGCCCATCTCGCCCCCGCGACGCCGTCGGGGCATATGATCGTGGCCCTGTAGGTTTTGGAACGGGAGCTGCCCCGCCAGGACTTTGATTCAGGTGCGACGGTGGACGCCCGCGCCCGAGCGGCGCGCGCAGCTGTCGCGCCCCCCTGAGCGCGCCGCGCGCGCGCGAGACCTGCATGCGGGCGGCGGGCGCGGGAACATATGCAGAAAGCTCTAGTGCGCCTTCCCAGGGGATCTGCGCCGGGCTCTGAAACGACGCGGGTCTGCCACTTCATCTTGCTCGTTGCGCCGAGTTGCGCCCGGGCCCCCCGCCGAGGCGGCGCCCACCACCCCGGCAGAGGAAGCGGCGAGGCAGCAGGAGGAGGAGAGCCTGGGCCAGGACCGCGGCTCCGGGGAAAAAGGCGCGCATTGCGACGACGAGGACAAAGACGCCCTCGGCCTCGGAGGCGGGCCCCTGCAAGCCCGAGGCGGAACCCGAGGAGGGCCGGGGGGGGGCGGCGGCGGGAGCTCGGGCGGACCCTGGTCGCGGCGAAGGAGATCGACGCGGGCGCACGCGCTCAAGCTTTGAGGAGTAACTGAGGGCGCGCGAGGCAGGCCGGCAGCGCGGCAGCGACCAGGGCGGCCCGCCAACCCGACCAGGCCGGACAATGCCAGGCGCAGGCCAGCTGGCCACAGTCCGCGCGGAGCCCGCTCGGGGCGGACCAAGAGCGTGGAGGGCGAGGGTGATTACACCCGAATATAGGTTGGCTCAGTGCACAGTGCTCGCGCGCCCACTGTTGCCGGTGATTACATCGACGGACGCTTCGCGTCATGGCTGGCGCTTGGCGCGCGCGCGCTCACTGCGCGAGCGGCATCCGCGGCGACGCGGGCCCGGCCCGCGGCCGGGGCCGTCCGTCGAGAGGCAGCTGATCCTGGGCGCGCGGCAAGTTGGCAACAAAGTGGCGCATCGGCGGCGATTGCGACGAGTGCTTGGCACTGGCTGGCGCATCTCTTCGGCCGCGCTAGCCCGCGAATGCTCGCGCACAGCGGCCAGCTTGTTTGGCGCGACCGACGCGGCCGCGGCGGCGCTGTCCGCTGGGCACATCCCAGCGGGCACTTCATTGCGAGTTGGCGACTTGGGCGGGCGCGGTATCATGTCAACGTCGACAACGGTAGACACGACGTCGACAGCGGCGGCGCCGGCGACGATGTCGATGACGAAGACGGCGCGGCCAGTGACGGCGCCGATGCTGATCACGCCGGCGACGACGACGGCGCCCTCGCATCGGCGATGAAGATGTTGCGTTGGAAGGAATGCGACGCGCGCGCGGCCAGAACGCGCGAGCGGCCCGCTTTGCATTATTCGGCGCGAATCGTGCCCCCCCAGCACACGCCCCAGGGCGTTTGAATGACTTCGACTTGCGGCGCGAGAGGCCCGTTTGCCCGAGCGCATTGAAAATATGAGAAACCGTTGGTTCTTCTAGGTTGCTATGTAAAAATCTGATGTGACGAAGCCATCGGTGTCTACATGTTTTTGGGGCACTCGATTTACAGCCATTTATGAAACCTAAAATTGTTGGGGATTTCGGCGCGCGCGCGACAACGCGCGCGCGTGCACTGCGTCCCGTTTGTCGCAGGGGGGTCCTGCGACAGCGCGCGCGCAGGGGCGTTCGAACGATTTCGACACGCGAGCGCGAATCCCGTTTAGTCGCATGTTCTGAAAATGTTGAAGAATTATTGGTTTTCCTAAGAATTCGCAAAAGCGCGGGGACATGCGTTTTCACATCCATTCGGGGCACTCAAGTTTGAGTCCCTTACGAGACCTCAGGTTTCTGAAGGATTCCGGCATGCGCGCGCGACGACGCGCGCGCATGTCGCCTCGTAGGTTGCAAGGGATTCCTGGAAACTACGAATCGATTTAGTTCGCATAAGATCTGCTGCAGAGGATGTAGAAATAAACCGTTACTGGCCTGCCTGGGACGGTGCGAGTTCATATTTAGGACAAACGAGGGGCATAATCGAACGCCTCTTGCGATGCGAAAAAGAGAGCTGTTTAGTCCGGGGGGTGGGGGAGCAGGTATCTCATAATATGTTCGATCGAGGGGATGACATTGTGTGGAATATATACGGCGCAATAGGCGCGGCGGAATCGGTACGGCACAATCTTCGCGGCGCAATTCATTTGTGGAGCTCGCAATTGTAAATTCCTCCACAGGTCGGGCAACTACTATCCCACCCACCCACCCTCAACCTGTTTCGCAACGCACATGCGGCGGCGATTGCGATGAGTGCTCGACATTGGCTGCGCAAGCCCGCGCATGCTCGCGCGCGCAGCGGCCAGCTAGTCTGGCGCGACCGACTCGGCCGCGGTGGCAGACGTCGGCAACGGCAGACACGCAAGGACGATGACGATGCCGACGACGAGGCAAACGAGGGCGCCGATGCCGGTGGCGACGACGAAGGCGTCGACGCGTCGGCAACGAAGGATTTGGAAGGATCTTAACGCGCGCGCGCGCGGCCGACGGGCACGAGCGGCCCGCGCGGCATCACTTGACAGGGCGCGCCCCCCCCCCCCCGCCCCAGCTGGCGCGCGCGGGCGGCCGAAGGATTTTAACATGCGCGCGCGAGATGCCGGGCTGGTGGACGTTGATGAACATATTGTCGGCCTTCTGGCATCCTGTCGAATTCGCAAGAGCGCGCGCAGACTTCTTCCGGGAAGGCTGTCCTTGCGAAGTCATAAGTGTTTTCCATGTTGGCGGGGCACCCGATGTTGAATCCCTGGAACCTAACGTTTTTGATGAGGTTCGCCAGGCGCGCCACGACGCGCGCGCGCACTTCGTCCGATTGTTTGCAAGCGGTTCTTGGAAGTGATGATTTCTGATGACCGAGTGTGCGCGCGTACTTTTCTGCAGAAGACGCAGGGGGTCGATGCCGGCCTGGCCGGGATGGTGGGAATACATGTTCAGAAGGAACGATGGGGCAAATGCACACGTAAATTGCACATCCCCTGGGCGGGGAGAGATTCCTAGGTAAGGGGTGCGCCCGAGTTCCTTTACTTGGAAGGCAAATCTACGCGGTGGAATTCACGTCTGTTCGCAGTGAGTTGCCAACTTCATTTCTCCCGCAACCATCCCGCCCGCATGCCCGCAATTTGGCATGCAAGACCCATGCAGCGGCGATTGCGATGCGTGCATTGCATTGGCGGGTGCACCTCTGCGGCCGCGCTAGCCCGCGCATGTCAGCGCGCGCAGCGGCCAGCTAGTTACCGCGGCCGCGGTGGCAGACGTCGACAACGGCAGACACGCGAGGACGATGACGATGCCGACGACCATTTCAGTGGGCATTTCAGTGCGAGAAGACTTGGGCGGGCGCGGTATCATGGCAACGTCATTTGCGTTCGCACATCCTTGTTGGGGAGCCATGCGCTTACTATTTGTGTTCGGAACATTCGATTTTAAATTCTCTATAAACCTACGTTCGTTGAAGGATTTCGGCATGCGCGCGCGACGACGCGCTCGTGCGCAATTCATCCTAGCGTTTGCAAGGGATTTCTGGAACTTGCAAGGGGTGAGAGGGGTGTCGATACCGGCTTGGTTGGGATGGTAGGAGTGCATATTTCGGATGAGCGGTGGGGCAGAGTAACTATAAAAAACGATACTCGAAGCGTGATGTCGCTAACTCCGGGAGGGAAGGGATGGAAAGTCGTATGTTTTTTGTCGCAAAAAAGGAGAGTCGACGTAATGCGATCTAGAATGCCAAGCGGCGCGAAGCTTTGCGAAGCAATGCAAATCGGGCGACGGAGAGGCGGCGGGCGGCGACGAGTCGGCGACGGGGCGGCGACGACGACGACATAGCCGCCAAACCGATATTTCGGCCCAGACGACGGGCGGCGACGAGGTGGCGACGGGGCGGCGACGGCGAGCACGGACTCGCCAAACCGATATTCCGGCCCAGACGACGGGCGGCGACTCCGAGCACGGAGCCGCTAGATCGACGTTTTGGGCCAGTTCTTTAGGAGAGATGTACATGCCCTAACTGCAAGCATTGTTAGGGGAACGTAGTTGTATACAAACAATGACGCATATATACAAATTGCAGATCGTGTATTATAGGTTGCGTGCGGACCTCCGTGAAATCATGCTTGTGAGCAATGTGTCCCTTCTCGAGGCAACCATGTTGAACGGTGGGGCGTACAGTGTCAGATACACCGACGTGAGCGACAGCAGCTCAGATGACGAGATCGTTCCAGTGAGCCGTGTCTATCCTGACGCCAGCGCAGAAGCAGAGAAACGCATGTGTGGGCCAGGCTGCTGCAACGGCTGGTGCGGAGTCGCTGGCCTCAACCGTAATTTCCAGAGGAAGGCCACATTGATCGACTCGGTGCGGTCTCTGTTCTTTTTGGAGGTGCCTTTCTTCCTGTGGCGGTTGTATCCGAGAGGCCTGTGCCAATTCCGCCGACGCCCTAAAGGTACATGGTGGCGGGCGTCATCACGGCCGCACAGGCTGCCCGAGAAGGGGCGAAACGCAAAAGGGCGAAGAACAGCGGCACGATGCCGAACGGGGACAGGCAGGGGGGAGGGGGAGAGCGGGAAGGAGGTCTGCTCGTTGTTTGCTGTTCCAACCTGTTTTAGCTTTGATCGCCAGCAAGAGTTTCGAGCATCAGGAAATGCCGAAACTGGAGGGTTTTCACGTGTCGGGCCGTGGGAGGCGGTACTCGTTCGACACCTCGCTAATGTGTCGGGCAGACATTGTTTCGAGGATTTGCTGGGAGCTCGAAAACATTTCTGGGATGCGGCCCGTAAGTACGATGGGAGCAACAAAATCCGAGTTATGAGGCATGTCCTCAGTGCCGGGCTTTCAATTGGGGCGGCATGGAGGCATCGTTTTCTGCTGTTTGTGCTGCCTTGGATCGCCCTTGAGGGCTCCAAGAACCAGAGGGGCAATGTGGAGGCGAAGGAGGAGAGATGAAATGAGCAAGTGGATGGGGCAGGCGGAAGAGAACCGCCGTTGCTGGTGCAGTGAAGGTGGAGAGCGGTGGGTTCAGGGGCCTCGAATGGCCACCCTTCTTCATTGCATGTTTGGCATTATCAACGGCAGGAGGCGGCAAGAATCGAAGGCGCTTACGGCGAATCACCACCGCCCCCTGCCTTTTTGGAAACGTCTATGTGGCCGAACGTTGAGGCCAGACCTGCCAAGCTATCGGACCATGTGTTCCCCGAGTCGGTTTGGAAAGCCTTCGGGGAACACGTGGCCGTCTTGAAGGTCATCTTGGCCGTCTGGAGGCCATTTTGACCCTTTCGGGCCTTCTTGGAGGACGTCTTGGAGGGCTCCAGGGCCGTCTTGGAGGCCATCTTGAGCGTCTTGGAGGCCTCTTGAGCCGTCTTGGGGGCCTCTTGGGGCCGTGTCTTGGGCCGCTTGGGCGATCTTTGGGGGCATTTGGGCCGTCTCGGGCTGTCGGACGGCGGAAAAAAAAGCAAATGCCACAATCCTTCGAAAACCCATGGAGAATCAATGGTTTGGGCCTTTTCGGGCCTTCCTGGAGGCCCTCTTGGAGGCCTTGGGCCGTCTTGGGGGTGGGCTCCTGGCACGTCTGACGCCGTCGGAAGCCGTTTGGGGGGCCTCTATGGGCCGATTTGGGGCCCTCTTGGAATGCTCCAGGGCCGTCTTGGAGGCCCATCTTGGGCGTGTGCAAGGCCTCCTGTGCCGTCTTGGGGGCCTCTTGGGGCCGTCTTGGGGCCCTCTCGGGCCGCTCTGGGGCCGTCTTGGAGGCCTCGTGAGCGATCTTTCGGCGATCTTCGGGGGCTATTGGGCCGTCTCGGGCCGTCGGAAGGCCGAAAAGAAGCAAATGTCAACATCCGTCAAAAACCTTAGGAAAATCAATGTGTTTGGCCTCTTCTGGCCTTTCTGGAGGCCCTCTTGGGGGCCTCTTGGGCCGTCTTGGGCCAGCTTCGAGCCAACTTCGGCCATCTTGGTGGGTTCCTGTCACGTCTGACGCCGTCGGGAGCCGCCTTGGGGGCCTTTCTGGGCCGACTTGGGGCCCTCTTGGGGCGCTTCGGGGCCGTCTTGGAGGCCATCTTGGGCGTCTTGGAGGCCATCTTGGGCGTGTTGGAGGCCTCTTGGGCCGTTTTGGAGGCCATTTGGGCCGTCATGGGGCCCTTTGGGGAGCCTCTTGGGAGATCTTTGGGGCCTCTTGATTTTAAGGGTAGCTCTTTGGGAGATGTTATATGTAAACGGGAGTATAGCCTGCGCGTCGCTGCCTTATGGCTCAAGGCACGCGCGCCCGATTTGCCCGGATACCTGACTTGGTATTCGCTACGTGCTGGAAAGATCTGGAAAGACCGATGCATCGATCTTCTCCTATATTACCCATCCACACCCCATATCGTATTCCTTCCACATGGACTTGGATGCAATATGACCTACCAGAGTCATTTCAGACTTGGTAGCGGAGCTGGCCGCACTCTCGTGTGGTCAGCTGTTGCTCTTCTCGTCCTTACGCTACCGGGCACGATCCTCGTGACCACCTTCTACCCTGCGCCACCACTCCACCAACATGTACGAGGATCAACCCAAGAGCAAGAAGCAACACAAGAGGTACAACGTTTAGACAACAACATTGGTACCATATACGTTTCATCACTACGCTATCACCGACCGCTCGGCAACGAGCCGAAAGCGCAGTACCTGAAGCATAAGCGGGGAGACCCGCAAGATAAAGCGCCTCGTAGATTCGACAAGGCGCCAATATACCCGCCCCAGCGCGGCAACGCGCCTGATAACCACCCATACCTCCACAGCCTGGGTTTGGTTATCTTCGCCATTATATGGTTTGCGCTGGGCGCGGCAATCGGACACATGCGCCGAGGAGACAATAGCACTGATGGGTAAACACATGGCCCATACTGGGACCCTCAAGGCAACGTACCTTTTCGCGAGTACGTCTACGAGGTCAACGCGTGGCTTAACGTCACGAGCGGGCGCATGACGCCACAAGCCCAAGCAGCCGCCATACAACGCGACCTGGGCGGCCTCGCGAGGACACTCGCCATGAGGGTACCACCCGACATCGTAAACTATGGTGCGGACATCGACGGTGTCCACACCGACCCAGCAACATACATCATATTCCACCTAAGCATGAAGTTCGAACGCCTGGAGGATGAGCGCCAGCTCACCTCAGGCACTCAGCTCATCGACTTCCGCGTGCCTCACGGAGAACGAATCGACGTATCCCTTACTCGGTTCGAAATGGCCCGCCTTGAGGCACAATCGGTGGGCTTTGACCTTCCCAACTTCCAACTACTTACGACTATCCGATTCCGCGCCTTAGGCGTCGGCAGCCAGCGAGCCACGCAACTCTTGCAACCACTCAACCACCAAACGCCCCGAACACAACAGTATGAAGAACTATGTGAGAGGATGCGCTCGATAGGCCATTTGTCAGAACGGTCTCCTGGCAACATAGGATCTGTGTTTGGAAGGGGAAGGGGGACTGGCAGTGGAAATTTCTACGCGACCTTAACCTCTGAAGCTCAGCCTGGCAACGGGCCCACAAACATTTGGGCCGGCGATCCTGGTGAATCTACTGCTCTATTGGCAGGGGATAGATCGCAGCCTAGCTGGGCAACCAGCCCCCCTCCTAGAGAACCTCAGCCTGACCGCTCCCTATGGGGAGAAGCGAACCCCCTAAACGACGGAGCGCCCACCTACATAGGAAACGAGGACTTCGACTCAGGCACCGACACCGACACGGTATCGTCAGATGGCGCTGACCCGCTAGACTGGTCAGATATAATGCAAATGGAAGGTGGTAACCAGCGTGCCGAGCATCTGTTTTGGTGACTACTGCAAGCAAAGCGTAGATGGAGGAGGTTTACACGAAAACCAGTGCGTCGTGCAAGGAGGAGGATAAGGAGGAGCTTCAAAGGCAACGGCAAAGGCAAATGGGTCGCCGAAGGTTGAACGGACGAGGCATCACAGCTTTCCTCCAGAGGCTCTCAGGCGATCAGTCTGATGGGATATTTTTTCGGTGGAAGGGGTCGTGGGAAAGGCCGCAGGGAAACTTCGGGCAAAGGTAAAGGTAGGCGGGGGGACCCGCGAGGTAGAGACGGCCAGATCTTGAAGTGCCATGAATGTGATGGCAGCGATCACCTCGTGAAGGATTGCCCAGTGAAAGGGAATGGAAAGGGTAGATCGTCCGAAGTCCATGTGGACTCAAGTGAACCTGCTACTGGGTATCTTAGGCTCCAAGATTTCGAGGCCGTGGAGCAGATATTCCTCACTTGGGTCAGCAACATGATAATGCTGGACGAGATCGAGGCGCACGGCCACGGGCTCCGCGCGTACTACCTCGAGTACCCCCGCAGGTTCAACTTCGGAGCCATTGAGCTCACGCCTGTGGAGAACGGAACGCTGGGAAACCAGCCCTTTTCTTCCCTTGAGTGGATGTTCGGCAATCCAGGCAACATCATGGCCTTCGAGAGCAGCGACGGGGGCCATATGGAGGCCGACGCTGTCGAGGCCACCCCCTCGGAGATCGAACATAACCTTCGGTATCAGTCAGACTTCTGGCTTGGAAACAAGCCTACTCCAGTGCATCCGCCAAATTACTGCGCGTTAATGGAACTGGAGTCTCAGGCTTTCACCGTGGGCGTGCCAGGCAGTCCCCACGAGCCACCTGGTATGCTCGCGCCGGGCGTGTACGGACCATAAACGGCGCTGCAGACCCGCATGCAGATGCATGCTGCTCAAGCCGAAGAGTATCCAGAAAGTCAACAGAGTGATGAGAGCGGCCACATGATGCTGCAGGACTCCGACGTCTGTGACGACTCGGACTTGCTGACGGCTGCTTTCTCTCTCATCGGCAGTGTGCTTCCCGAAGATGTACAGCGGCATCTATGGCGCGCAAAGGGGCGCTGGCGCAAAGCCGCTCAGAGGGCCATCACGCGGCATGAACAGGCGCCTCCTCCGCCAGGACGGGGTCTGCAGGCGGCGGGGCAACGCCCCGACCATGCGGCCATGCGCAACATCATCGGGCAGCCGTCTTTATGATTATGCTCAGCTTGATGCGCACGCCGCGCACGGCAACGAGCCTGGTCCGACAACCGCACCACCAGCGCCGGGACAGCCCAGCGGTGCCCAGATGCCACCACAGCAGGGAAAGCTGCCTGTCCCGAATGGGCCGATGACTCTTGCCATCGGCAATCCTACTTCAGAAGCCGAAGATGAGGACGGCTGTGGATTGCGCGAAGACGAGACCACCATCCTCATGATGAACGTCAACGGCGAAGACGAGGAGGTGGACTTCGACGGAAGTGAGACCGAATCACAACCACCCGCACAAGACCTCACCACGTCCGACCCTCACCAGCAGGGAGACCTGCCTGCCCAGGAAACAACGCCAGTTCCTGCCCAGGCCATGTCAGCAGCATCATCCGA